TATTTTAAATCAATGAGATGCACTCGTGGTCCTGTCTGTCTGCCCATCTGCAGGTCCGTCTGCCTTACTGTGCCTCCTGGTCTGTCATCTCTATTTCTCTCCTTTTCTCGGATGCATTTGTCACTGTGGTGTCTGAGTCTCTGGCCCTCAATTTTAAAAAGTCCATGAGCAAGGGAGATTTGGAATTCTACTTCCACTTGGAAGTCTGAGATGCTGACATGCTTCTCAATATCAGTTTCTTTCCCTTTGAAATCGACCGTAATACTGATCTTGGTGTGCTGCTGTTAGGGTACAACCAAGGAGAACCCATACAGGCAACTGGGTTCCTGGCCCCTCACAAAGCCCGCCCCTCCGCCCATCCTCAGCTTACCCTCATGACGCATTAGCATGCCACCAATCTGAGGGCTTTCCTCCAGTATGGCCTGCCCTCAGCCCATTTTCAGATCAGCCAATGGAGCTATGACTGGCAGAAATTATTTTTCAACCAATTGGTCTCTTTCCAGCAGTTTCATATGGCTTCTCACTGTAAATCACTCGGGGAAAATAAATGTCCCCAATCCATTAGTGGCTTTCTACCACGAGCCAATCTGAGGCACAAACTAGACAAGGCTTGTTAATGGTCACTTAAATACCTTCCTAGGGCTCAACCCTGAGGGCTGCAGCTACCCTGCAACCCCACCTGCCCATGGGAAAGGACGGACAGCAACAAGGACACAGACGCAGCCTTGATCAGTCAGAAGGGACCACACATCCTGGCTGGCTTATGCCCATTCCAGTCTGTTCCTGTAATCCCTGAGTAATGACCAACAGTGCACTTTTTGAAACCAGTTCCACTTCGAATGGTAAACTATCTTGGGTCTCTATGGCAACCAAGAACAATAGTTTGGATAATAATAGCTGTCACTTATCCACCGTCACCTGTGTGCTAAGCATCACCCTGCAAATCTCACCTGCAAACAGCAGTACAGCACCAAGGAAGGAAGAAGGCACCATGATGACCCTCATTGTATAGACCCGGGAAGTGACATTTAAGGCAACACACCCCACGTCAGTTACAGAGTGTGATCTGCACCTTCTCCTCACCTGCTGAAAATGTTGGCGGATCCTGATTCAGAGCTGACATAAGCCATCTCTTCTTCAGAGACACCAGGCCTTCAACGGAAGCAGCCCAGCCAATGATCTTCAAAGGCTTGGCCTGTTTCTTGCTTCCAGAACTGACTGAGTGGTGGGAGCCAGGTGGGCCCACATTCTTACTTAGCTCTCTCCTCTGTCCTAGCCTGCTGCTTTTATTTTCATTGTCCTGAACATACTCCCTCAATGGACCACTTAGAAAAGACCCCTGTGGCAGGTTGTAGCTCCAAGAAGACACACCTAGAGCACCCAGTTAGCAAGTGGATCTTCTTTAGGAAGTCTGACCCCTAAGTCCTACATGATTTGGCAGGACACACAGGCTATATGGCCTACAAGATTCACTCGAGGGCCTCTACGATGTATCTCAGAAGTAGAGTACCTGCCTAGCATGCTTGAAGAGGCACTGAGTGCTATCTATACCTAACCCTGTGCAACCCAAAGGCTTCCCAAGATGTCTGGTCACCAACAAGCATATGCTATATGGGACCAGATGTGACCAGAGCGCAGAAACAGTAACTACTACCTAGTGAGTGTCTATATTACATCTGAGCCTCTCAACATCACACTGTCTGTTCATCTGCATTGCATAAAGGCAGCCCAGGGGACTTGGAGAAACAGAAATACCAGTGAAATCAGGTAGATAGGAAGAGACCAGCTCAGGCTTACCGCCAGGCATGTGCTATCACGTGGTAAGCATGTCTATACTTTCCACAGAAAGCCATGTTACCCCAGGAATAGCCAAATAATGCTCCCCCAAGTTACCCATAAAAGGAGCAAGGGATCTCTATTTTTTAAAACAGAAAGGAAAAGATAGAAAAATACCCGCCAGGGTCCAGAGAGGTAAGTCATATTTCTTGTGACTTTCCCCCAAATGAAAATCAAAATGGAGTAAAAGGAAAACAGCAGAGCATGAAGTACACGCAGATTCAAATCCTAATTCTGTTTTTCAAGGTTCCTGGCTATTCATGCAATCTCCCTGAGCCCCAGTTGGTTCTATAAAAAAAAAAAAAAAAGCCTATCTCATTAGTCCATGAACGAGAGAGTAAATGAAGTAAAACAAGTATTTCTCTCTGTTTCTTCTCTTCAATTTCCATAAAGTACATAGAGTAACCAACCTGATCCCTCATTCCAGGTCTGACTAACCCAAGTTCAAACATATGATGCTGCACTTCCAAGTAAAGAGCATATCCTACTTGATGATGAAAAGGCTTTCATTAAAAATAGAGAGCAGATAAAAGAGACCTTCATCCCAGAGGCCGTTGTTGATTCATAAAAACACAGAATGAGTCATCCTGGATCTCAAGGCTAAAACGTACAATCAATGGGCCTCTCCGGCCAGCCAGTCCCAGCCCCGTGGAGGAGGAGAGACCCGTGGGCCATCTTCACAAGCTATGCCAGGCCTCCCCTGCAAAACTCATTAACTCTGCTTCCAGCTTAGCAAAAGGGAAACCATTTGGGACCCTTGACAATATTACATTCAAGTGTTCCCCGGGCCTGGTGGCTTCCTGAATCTGTAGGGATTCGGGGGGGGGGGGGGGGGGGGGAGAAGGATGTCTGCTAAAGAAATGTATGTGTCTGAGAATCAACCTGCCTGGCCTTCCCCTTGTCTCAAAATGCCTCAGTTCCTGTGTGCATGCATCCAGTTAGTCTAAGATGCAAAAACCAGAGAACACAGACTTCCATGTACTGTAGTTGAGGCCTGGTTCTTGAAAAAGTCACCGAAACATTTTCTTCTCTATATGTATTTTTACAGAAGTCCTAGAACCTGATCCTCAGGGTCATTAATTATATGCATGTATGCATGCATATGAATATGGGTATGTATTAGTGTAATCTGTGTGTATATGTACATATATTTGTATACATATAATACTGTCTGCAAAATAATGGGGTGGTTAAAGGAGAGTTATCAATAAAAGGTTTTCCTTGCACTAGACGGAGACTCTTCCACCAGCAAGAAAAATCATGAGCCAACAATCACCCAGCAACCTTTCTCCTTGATCCATTCACTTAGCAATCACTCTGATGCTCTGTATATGGTGCTGGACACTGAGAATTTGGTTCAGAGAACAGATACAAGTTCTGCCTTCTGAGATCCATCCGCCTGGCTGTGTAAGTGTTAACAAGAAGAACTCAGAACCCCTGGATTTGCAAAAGCACCTTCCCTTATGGGAGTCCCCAGAGGTACCAGAGATGAGTTCAAAGTCAGACACACCAGCTGCACAGACAAGGAGTGAACAAGAGCTCAACTCCCACTGCTTCTACCAGCTGCCTTCTTCTACCAGCTGCCTTCTTCTACCAGCTGCCTTCTGACCTTGGCAAAGGAAACAGGCCTCTGCCCTCAGAATGGGGAAGTGGGCAGAGAGGAGGGATGGATGGATGGCTTTTGTGTTTTTCTTGTTTCTTGATCTGGTCCCAGATTCTGGATTTCTGATCTAACCTGAGAACCCTGGAGGTGGCTGTTGCTTTGAGAAGCAGCAGAATCGGCCAGTTCACCTAACAAGCTTTGTCACACAGCCAGTGCTGGGGCCAGTGACCCTCTCCATCAGGTCTTCCCAGAACCTTGGGGATCCACGGAGAGATCTGCACACGCCTGGGATCCCATCTGAGAGTGGGTCTGAAGGAGTTGCTGGGGGAGATGGAGAATGGAGGGCCTTGTAGAGAGCTAGGCTTCAAGACGGAAGCAGGGGTTCAGGCAAAGATGAATGAGGGTTGCCCTGCCCTGGGAAAGAGAGAAGAGACCCGGAAGGAGACAGGGTGGGCTGTAGCCCTGGCCTCATCTTTTATCCAGCTTAGAGCTGCTGCTCAAACAACCCTCTTGGTTCCCAGTTCCTCTCCACACACCTGGTTACAGGGAGGAAAATGAGTGGAAGTGTCTGGGGGAGGGGCCCCGCCGGCTACCCTCCTCCCCCCAGCCTCCATCAGGACAGCAGATAGAAGTGAACAAGACCCAGTCTTGGGCCTGTCATCCTAGCTGTGACTCAGAGGCTGAGTTCTAAGGATGGCAGTTCAAAGCCAGCCTGGGCAGGAAAAGTCTATGAGCCTCCAAAAGCCAGAAGTGAAGCTGTGGCTCAGGCGGTAGAGTACTAGCCTTGAGAGAAACAAGGAGGAGGAAGAGGAAGAAGAGGAGGAAGAGGGAGAGGAAGAGAAAGAGGAGGAAGAAGAGGAAAGAAGAAGAAAGAAGAAGAGGAAGAAGGAGAAAAAAGCTCAGGGACAGTGCCCAGGCCCTGAGTTCAATCACACACACACACACACACACACACACACACACACACACACACACGCGCGTGCACACACACTCGCACAAGCACACACACTCGCACACGCACACACGCGCACACCAGCCAGGCCACTCACTGGCAGGGTGAGTGATCTCAAGAAATCACCCCCTTCCTCCGAGCTGCGGGTTTCCTCCCAGGACGAGGCGGGGGGGGGGGGGGGGGGGGGGCCGCGGAGACCTCCGGCCAGCCGGGCGCGGGGTCCGGGGAAGGGTGACGACGCGGGATGGCCCCCGAGCCAGCGGGCACCCACGGAACTCCCTAGAAACTGCCACCCCGCGCGCCCGCCGCCACCGCGGGGTAGCTTTTCTCCCCTGCCCCGCGTCAGCCTCGCCCCGCCGCGCGCGGGCTGCGGAGCGCTTCCGACGGCCCCGACCCCCGCGGCGCCCCCGGCCCCGGCGCCCCCGGCCCCGGGCGCCCGCCCTCGGCGCCGGCCGGTGCCCCCCCCCCGCGTCGTGGGGCGGAGGGCGGCTCTGGGAGCCGGGGGGCCTGGCCGAGGGGGGGTCCCCAGCATCGGGGCCCCCGGCCCGCCCCACCGCCCCTCCCCGGCGCCGGCGAGCGCGCAGAGCCCGAGGGGCGCGGATACTGGACCAGGCTTTGACGCGGATCTTGAGCTCGCCGTCCTGCGGCTCGGGCATGGCCCTCCGGGCGAGCCGGAGCTTGTTGAGCCCCCCGAAGCCCACCAGCACCACGGCGCGCATCTCCCGCGCGTCGCCGGCGCGGTGCGAGCCGTCGCCGCCGCCGCCCTCCGCGGGCTCCGGGGTCGCCTCCTTCTCGATCATCTGCTCCGTCTCCTCCGCTTTCTCCACGCCTTCCTTGGCCATGGCGCGCGCGGGCCGCGTGCGGGGCGCTCGGGCTGCCGTGGGGAGGATCGGGAGCTCCTCCCGCGCGGACTCCTCCTGTTGAATGCGCGGCGCCCGGCGGCGGCGCGCGGGGCGGCGGCGGCGGCCTCGGGCGGCCCGGGGCGGGCGGGCGGGCGCCGCGGCCGCGGCCGCGCCGTAAGCCTCCGAAGAGCCGCGCCCTGCGCGCCTCCTCGCCCCACAGCCAGCCCCGGCTCCGGGTTTCCAACCCGGGCTGCGGACCCCCGCTTGGTCGTGGCTCTGAGAGACTCGGCCTTCCGAGGACTCTTACGTAAAGCCCGTCCACGGCGGCGCCCGGCCCCCGCCCTCCCGCCTCCTCTCGGTCGCGGCCGCCGTTTTTGGTTATTTACGGCTCCGGGGCGGGCGGGCGCCTGGAAATGGACTGAGATGCTGCGGGCGGGACGCGCGGCCGGGCGGTCTCCCGCCGCCCGCGGGGGGCCCGGGGCCGGGCGGGGGGGCGGGGCCGGAGGGGGGGGCGGCGGAGAGACGGGAAACTGGGCTGTGTCCCAAGCAGGCAGTTCTGCGAGGAAGAGCCGGGGAGACGGGCGCGGGAACTCAGCACTAGGATACAAGCCCAGGGCAGAGTGGGCACCTGCAGGAGCCCTAGGATGCGCCTTCCAGACGACCTCCCTGCAGAGGACCGCGGCCCGGCCCACAGCAGGCAGCGCCTCCGGGAAAGTGATCTTAACGATCATTTGGGCCCAGAACAGAATCTCGTTCTTGTTCTGACTCCAGAAGACTTGGTACCTCATCCCCCAGCGCACGCGCGCGCGCACACACACACACACACGCATGCACACACACGCATGCACACACACGCACACGCATGCACACACACGCATGCACACACATGAACACACACGCGTGCACGCACACATGCACACACAGGCATGCACACGCATGCACACACACGCATGCACACACATGCACACACACGCATGCACACACACGCATGCACACACATGAACACACACGCATGCACACACTGCAGCTAGCCTTCGTGTGCTTCTTTTGCTATCAGATCCCTTAAAGAAAAGCTTATTGCACTGAAAGGAAATGCAAAAGCTGGTAACAGTAGCGGGCTTGCTTGGGGCCACTTGACAGATGGAGAGAGATGCATGAAGCGTCTTGGTTGTGTTTTGTAGTGTGAGAAGCCAGCCCCGGCAGAGTGGGTGCCTCCTTCACCCTTCCTGAGCCGCAGCACCCGGGTCCATGCCGCGCGCCTGTTAACTTGGTTCTCCACCTGGTGTGAAGTGGTCGGTGGATAGGATTCCGGTGATGAGGAACTGGATTTCCAAGCTCCAGCTTGGGGAAGACCATAAACAAGTGCGTGTTTCCCTCCATTCTCTCTCTGCCTCCGCATCTCTAATTTCATTTCCTTGGCTTTGGGTGCCTCAAACATGTTCATATAGCCAGTGGTGGTGGCTCCAGCCTGTGATTCTAGCTACTTGGAGGTAGAGGTCCAAGAAGGCAATTCAAGGCCAGCCTTGAACTGGGTGGGGGTAGAGGAAAATGAGGCACCATCTCAACCAATGACAACATAGAGTGGTAGAAGTCAGTGAAGCCAACTACCAGGAAAGCACAATGCATGGGAGTTGTCATTTTGTCCAGGTACAGTGGTTCACACCTGTAACCTATGCTATTCCAGAGGTAGAGACTGAGGGAAATCTTGGTCTGAGGGTTTGCCTCAGACAAAAACTGCAAGATCCTACCTGATCCATAACTAAATTTTTAAAAAGAGGGGGCTGGAGATACAGCTCAAGTAGTGGAGCGCTTTTTTAGCAAGTATAGATCGTTGAGTTCCATCCCCAGGACCTCAAGTAGAAGAGAAGGAGCTATACTTTTGGAGCGGACATGTCTTCGGTGCTGATATCCAGTGCAATGTATTTCATTGTTTTGGCCATGCCTATAATTCTCCACGTGTTGGGTAAGTTATGCAATTTGATCCTCAGAATAATCATATGAGTTAACAATTACTGTCCACATTTTACAAAAGAGGAAATCAAGTCTTAAGTAGGCGAGTCACTGTGCTGAAAACAACACATGGTTTCTTTTAGCTGTGGTGAGACACAAACTGACTTCAGGTCCACGTTCAACAGGAATGTTTGTTTACAGGACAGTTCTGCCTCTGACTGATCCTACTCTGTGGACCTACTCTTTTTCTTGGCATTCTAGTATTTCTATTCTACCAAGATCCCTTGCCTTAGTTCTGAGTGTTTTCCTTTGGCATTAGTAAGATAAACCTATCATATAATCAGCAAAAACCACATTTAAGAGAAAGTAGCTTATGTGGTATACTAAAGGCTGCATAATTATACCCTGCAAGGGAACCTTCTGGCTGCACATAAGCCCCAGATTATAATTGGCAGACAGCCCATTGTCAACAAGCCAGAAGGAACACACCGTTCTCTTTGCTGCTTGGAGAAGAATATCTTCCTCTTAGTCCCGTATAACACTATCATTAACTATTCCAAAGTTTTATCCTTCCTGGTGGCATGTAGCAAGAGCTATATGTGAGGCATATCTAAAATTAAACACAATGGATCAATTTTTAATTTATAAAATGGATTCCTTGGCATTGTAGGGTGATGTCAAACAGCGACCACTGCTGGTGAAGCCTACCTACTATTATTGCTCAGCTCTATGACCTTACCAATGACTTCAAGAAAGGCCCCTTACACTTGTTCATGGGGGGGGGGGGGGAGTGAGGGAGGGGGCAGCGGGAAGAGAAGAACAGAGATAAGGACAGGAATAGGGAGGGAGAGGAAGAGTAGGAGGGAGGGAAGAAGGGAAGGAGGATAAAAGGGAAGGAGGGAGAGATATTGAGGGAGAGAGAGAAAGAACAAGAGAACTCAAGATATTGGATACCTGAGGGGAGTATTGCATAATAGAGGTGAGGGTTTTTTTTTTTTTGAGTAATGGTAGGAAACAATATTGTTTTAGAAATAATTAAGTAATTTGAAATGCCTCAGTGATTTGGGGGGGGGAGGAGAGGAGGGGGATCACTTACCCGATAATCAATGCACTCAACTAGTCTTTAGTAGCCTTTATTCTATTATACTACTTCAATATTATTATAATTATTTATCACATACATTACATGATTTAATCCTGCAAAGGCTCCTGTGCCACAGGAGCTAGTAGCTCTATGCTACAGAGGAGAAACTTCAGTATAAACGGTGTTGATCCTAAGATCACCTGCTTAGTTGGTAGCAGAGCTGGCATTTGAAGTGGGAGACATTTGACTCTGGAATGTGAATTCTTAAACTTTATACTATAATATCTGTGGTTTTATAGGTTTCTCTATCACTCGGGCATAAAAATGCTACAGGGTAAGCTAAGAAGGAAGGTGATGAATTTTAAAAGTTGAAGAATAGAAAGAAGTAGGAGATTCTGGCCAATAAAAGGTCCTGGTAAAAATCAGCGGCTGGCATTAAAGAATTCCATGATTTCCTATAATTCTTCTAGATGCTACTTAAAAGATAATAGCATACGACTGCTAGAAGCACTGCACTGCTCTGCAAAGAACTGGTGAGAAAACACGTTCTATCTCTACCTTTCAGGCCCACTCGTAAGAAGAAACTCCAGCCACAGCAGCAGCAGCAGGGTATTTGTTCATCTCCTTTTGAATGCTGACCTTGTACTCCTGTGAAGTGCTAGAGACGAAATATTATGAAAGGCCAAGGTGTTCTCATTTCCAGTGGAGCTCACGGTCTGGCCATGTAGAGGTACATTGGTTTAGGTTGGGTTGCCACAAGCAAAGCTCTCTTAATTCAGACCTCTGAGTGCAACTGATTATCCCACTTGTGAGGTGATCTCAGGAAACACCAGTAGGACTTTGGGACCTGAGACAAGGAGGGGAAATAAATCAATGCAAGTTGTCTGCCCAAAGGCCATCACTGGGTCATTAGGGTTAAATCCCTCGAAGAACTCTAGGAAGCAGGGAAGCACACCTACCCCTCAGAGGCTCCTCCAATCAAGAGGCAAGGAAGTGGAGGATCCATCAGCTCTGATCAGTCTATGGGTAAGATCTGTCCATTAGCCACTGCTTCTGGCCAACCTTGCACCTGTGCTGTTTGGGGCCAGGCAGCAAAACACAGCTGTACTGGAATAGAGTCAGGTGTGTCTGGAGTTGGAAGAAACTTAATCATTTATTGTGTATTGCCATGCTGGGTTCCAGAAGGGTAGAGGTATGTTTCAAGAGAAAAAAATTATGTCATAAGCTGGGTGCCAGTGGCTCATGCCTATAATCTTAGTTACTCAGGAGGTTGAGAACTGCAGTTCAAGGGCAAGAAAAGTCCAATAGACTCTTATCTCCAGAATTAGGGGTGTGGCAAGTGGTAGAACGCCAGCCTTGAACAAAAAACACTAAGGGAGAGCACAAAGCATTGAGATCAAGCCCCAGTACAGGCACACACAGGGGAAAAAATCACATAATTATTGTTCTGTTTGATAAATGCTGCAAAGGAGAACTACGCTAAGCATCAGGGAAGCCTTCACCATGAAAATAACCATAAAGCATTAGATTCATCTACAAAAATTTCACTGTGATCTTCAGCTCAGGAAAGCCGGGCCCCATTCTCATGGTCAAGACATGGCTATCATATACACGTTGACAGAGATGAGTGTGGAGGGGCACCACAGGGGTCTGCCCTATTTTAGGGGTCTGCCCTATTTTATCTACCTACTTCCGATTGGCCAGAGCCTAATGATGTAGCTGCTTCCTGTTACAAAGGAGGCTGGGGAAATGTAGTAGTTTCATATTTAAGAGACAATGTCCCAGTGACAATATTTGAGTCCTGCAACTAAGAGTGATAGTATCTGGAGGTACAGTGAGGACTTTTCTGAAATAATGTTGCAGGGCTTGAACCAAATGACTGATCAACTGTGAAGAATGAAAAGGTGATTCTCAGCCCTCCCTTGCTAAAGTCAAACACTGCTCAAGGATCCTGGGTCTCACTGTTGTCTTCCAATAACTCATCTAAAGCATTATTCACCCTGTTCAACTTTTTTATTTTT